CTGTGGGGCCTCAGCTCCAAGGCCGCCAAGGACGTGCTGGGCTTCCTGCGGGTCGTCCGCTTCGTGCGCATCCTGCGCATCTTCAAGCTCACGCGGCACTTCGTGGGGCTGCGGGTGCTGGGCCACACGCTGCGCGCCAGCACCAACGAGTTCCTGCTGCTCATCATCTTCCTGGCGCTGGGCGTGCTCATCTTCGCCACCATGATCTACTACGCCGAGCGCATTGGCGCCCGGCCCTCCGACCCGCGGGGCAACGACCACACCGACTTCAAGAACATCCCCATCGGCTTCTGGTGGGCCGTGGTCACCATGACGACGCTGGGCTACGGGGACATGTACCCCAAGACGTGGTCGGGCATGCTGGTGGGGGCGCTGTGTGCGCTGGCCGGGGTGCTGACCATCGCCATGCCCGTGCCCGTCATCGTGGGTGGGGCCTAGGAATTTGCATTTCTAACTGGTTCCCAGGTGGTGCTGCGCTGCTGGTCCAGCGCCCCGCTTGGAGGAACGCTGCCGGAAGCCTCGCTGTGCCCGCACGGCCTGCAGACAGGCAGCCGGGCCTGCGGACAGACAGCCGGACCCGCGAGCTTGTTAGAAATACAGAACCGCGGGTCCTGCCCTCACCCAGAAGCAGGGTGGCACTTTAACAAAGTCCCCGGTGGTTTCCTCTCCATACCAGTCTGAGAAGCCTCGGAGCACAGCGGGGTTAGGAACGGGCAGAGCCAGGCAGGGCGCCGGCCCGGCAGCAGTAGTCGGTTGCTTCCAGCCAAGACCGGCCTTGAGCTCCTAGAGCCAGGGGTGGGCACACGTTTTGACTCGAGGCCACAGTGGGCTCTTAAACTGGACCGGAGGGCCGAGGGCCGGAACAAAAGCATGGATGGAGTGTTTGTGTGAACTAATATAAATTCAAAGTAAACATCATTATATAAAAGGGTACGGTCCTTTTTTTTTTTAGTTTTAATCATTTCAAACGGGCCGGATCCGGCCCGTGGGCCATAGTTTGCCCACGGCTGACCTAGGCTTTGTGAGAGCGACTGGGAAGTGTTGCCTTAGAGCAGCCAGGGAGATGGGGGGAGACCCCGTGAGGAGGGAATTTTAGCTCCTGGCTGTGAACTTTAACCCCCCCCCATCCTCCTCCCGCACCACAAGCAGGGGTCCCTGCCCCCCTGGGCTCCCCCACCCCTTCTGACAGCTGCCCCCTCCCTCCACCTCACCCGCAGGTGGTGGCCTTTGCCTCTCTCTTCTTCATCCTGGTCTCCATCACCACCTTCTGCCTGGAGACCCACGAGGCCTTCAACATCGACCGCAACGTGACGGAGATCCTCCGCGTGGGGAACACCACCAGCGTGCGCTTCCGGCGGGAGGTGGAGACGGAGCCCATCCTGACCTACATCGAGGGCGTGTGCGTGCTGTGGTTCACCCTGGAGTTCCTGGTGCGC